CGGTGGGAAGCAGAAGAATGGCATGACGGGCCAAATCCACAAAACAGGTCTCATACTGAGTAACAATTTTACTAGCCTGCTGGAGACGCTCAAACTGACGGCGACGCTCCTCTCTCAATGTGATCGGCAGAAACTTCTCTGTGAAGAGCTGAGAGAACTGGTCCCAAGTAAGCGCATGCGACCTAGCTGGTCTGGTCAATAAGTAATCTCTCTACCATTTCTTGGCGGAACCGCTCATCTGAAATGCAGTAAAATCGACCCCATTGGTCTCCACTATACCCACGTTTCGTAGAACCTCGTGACAGCTGTCAAGATACTCCTGGGGGTCCTCTGAAGGAGCACCACTGAAGTGAACAGGAAAGAGCTTGGTAAACCTGTCCAATCTCCATAAAGCCTCAGAAGACATAGCTGACCTATCTCCGACCTGTGCCGCAATAACCGACTGAACTAATCCGACTGGCTAAGTTGCTGGAGCCTGATACTGGGGAGCTATCTGCTCCAAAGCGGGAGTGGTGGGAGTCTGTGCTCCTCCTCTAGCCTAAGAGACTGCTGGTACCATTGGAAATGCGCCAGTCTGGGCCACACTCTCCATAAGGCCCACCAAACGGATCAAAGCGTCCTGAAGTACTGGGTAGCAATGAACCCTTCCGGAACCCGGGCAGGTCCGGCAGGAACAGTCTGGGCTGGAACCTCCTCGTCAAGCTCTATCTGAGGCTCCACTGCTGGGGCTNGAATATCTCTTTACAATATTTTTGTGAATAAATTTGAATTAAAAAATTTAGGTGACAATTCTATAATATAATTTACAAGGAATTGCCTTAGATATTTTTATTACAATTTTTTTTCTCTAACTTCTATAAAAAAAAAATTAAAAAATAGAAAGTATCGTTAGTTCGTGGTCCCGGGCCGATTCCAACAAGAAGTCCGCGAAGCCCGGAACCGCTTAGGACTGGCCTACTTAGAACCAATCCCACAAAGCTCACTTAGGACCGGCCCGGGCCCACATGTCACCCTTAGTTGGCATTGAACAAAACATGGTTTCCTGGTAAAGTATCATGCTGTGTGCAGTTTAATACACGAGACGGTAATTGGAAACACTTTGACTTATTGATTAAAACAATCGGAGTAGATTTGAAGTATGTGCAGTCTATGCCATAAATATTGAGATAGACGCCTCTTTGAGGCCTCCAGAAGATCTGAAAAAAAAGTATTGCAATACATCATGCACAATGTAACAAGTAATTCATATAAGAAAAAGCATGGCTCCTGATCAGAAACCTGTGGCTAGGAAGTTGGACCTTTGCCCACGATATTTTGTCCTTGATAAAGCAGATCCAAAGTTGTATATCATTTTTCTTATCTCAACAATGTACGTGCGAGTAGTATGACTCTCTTGACTTTTCTAACCATTTCTTGACCTTAACCGAACTAATTAAACCAATCAAAAAAGCAAGTTAAAACAAAAGGGAGTAAAAGAAGGAAGAGAATTTCTTGCATTGCACCAGAAAAACATAGAGACAAGTTGCAAATTTAACAACCTCAAATCCATCTTGAGTCAATTTTATGGCTTGTTCCCTCTGAGATAAAGAGGAGACATTGTTGAATACACAAACAACATCAAGAAGCATCTGCAATGAATAAACCAAATTTGATTAGAATTTCTTGTTCAATCATTGGACATCCTCAACAAATTTGCTCGACATAAGATTTTCACTTCCTTAAATATTGCATGTTCCTAAAAGAGCAAAAAAGCTCACGTTATTTACATAACTCCCATTCCCCTAGACTCTTGAATTAGATCAGTTACTCCAGTTAAATAAGTTCCAGAAATTACCATGACTCCACTGTATTCTACTGGAAACTAGAACTTCAACAAACTGAAAATTTGAAAGAACACAATCGATGTGCAGAAACTAGGCCTTCACAGACAAGTTGAGTCTGCAACCTTTACTATTATTAGTACGATGAATAAATGAGCATTTAAAATGATTAAAAGGGTTTTTTTGTTAATGAGTGCATTTACCACTTCACATTTCATAAAATGATAAAAATATCCTGAGAATACTTACTTACTGAACTAGAACTCTTATTCCGGCAAGCAAAGCCAATATTGTCAACGAAAATCCCATAAAAATGATCGTGCAAGAAGTGTGGATATCTCCGTCTACTGTTAAGGGTAAAAAACAATCGCATGTGGCAAACATTTCACATTGGAATTTGCAAAAAGGCACATTGACTAAGTGTTTACTTTAAATGAAGATCAATCAGCACAAGGTGAAAAACAAATTCAACATACAAATCAGATGAAAACAGGACATACGAAATTATGAAGATATGGACAAAAAGAAAGAATATCCAACTACACTGGCCATGGCCATCAATTGGCATAAGTAAATCTTGTCCCACAATCAACATATCAAATGAAGTATTAGTATGCAAAAAAGAAGCAAGAAGGATACGTAGCGGCCCTTAACATTGGCTCAACCATCTGCAAGAAAAGAATAAGTAACTTAGGAACTTCTACCGAATAAAATGATAACTTAAAGCTTTCCTTGTTGTAATATGATTCTTATTAAACATGGACCCCTCAATGTTTAAGACATTTGATTAGACATAGAGAAATGAAGAGAGATAGGGGTCCGAAACATGGACTCGACCGCACACGCAAGTCATAACACATAATACGAGGCTGTTCGAGACCTTAAGTCCCGAACGAGACATCAATTATCAAAACGACATGTCGAATCGTTACAGTCTTTTAAATTTTTAAAAATTTTAATATTTACCCACAACTTTTTCTAATTTTAATCTGACTCCGACCCCTTTAATTACCCTTCTTTTGTTAACCAAACCATGCGACCTAAATTCTTACAAAAGTCTTTTTTTAACTCATTCTTCCTTGTTTCTACACCGTCAACCTACTTCCGCTTCACCATTGTTCAGTGAGTACTCTCGTTGTCATCAATACAATGAGATTTAGGTTCTGGGTGCTATGAGGTTCCACTTTTTGAACTTTGGGGTTTTCTATTATTTTATTATTAGAGAGATTGGCATTTTAAATATGTAAATTGGATTTGTTGTAGAGTTTAGTTTTACATTGTAGAGTTAACTACAATTTATGCATCTGGGTTAGTTCGTTCGTTTTTCCTTTAAATCATTTAGAGTTTTATAATTTAGGGGTATTTTTGTCCAAATATTAATTACTTATTAGAAATTGGGTATAAGTTACATAATTTTTTAAAAATTGGGTATAGGTTGCACATCCCATTTCCTTGGCGATCACACCCAATCCCAATAACTTAGTCCAGTTAGACGACTTCAACCCAAAATACTAACGGTTTTTGGCTCCTCTCTCTTTAGTCGATTGAAAATTTGCAACTGCCCTGCGCTCAAAGCACACTAGTCCCCCTCGCCGTTGCTGTTGCCGCTGGTCACCGTCCTCGTCCAGAGGTACTTAACTTTCCTCTTACCTCTTCTATGTGACTATATTATTGAAATTATTGTACTAAAGTTATACGTATCAGCCAGCTTCGTAATTCTGTTACCAAGATCTGTTTACCTTGTTTTTGTATTCTGCTCTAACTTATTGAAGATATGGCCAAAAAAAAAATTTCTAGGGATTATTTTTATGTTGTATTTTTCTTGTCTGCAGCTTCATTGTGGACTAATGTTTTATGTCCAATATTGTGTTGCCTCTTTGATATTCATGCTTTCGCCTTTCCGCTTTTTGAGTTCATGTAAAAAACTTCATTAATTTTCTTTACTAATTGAAGCAGATGAAATTGTGAATAGTGTTGCCATAATTGAAGTGCAATGTGTATGTATTGCAATTTGAAGTGCAGTTGATGTAGTGCTTCAATTTTTTAAATGCATGACTTGAGATTGGTCATTAGGCCCCTTCCACCCTTACAGAAACTAAGCCAACTTGTTTGTGCCAAAGGTAAAAATTACAACAACAACAACAACAACCCAGTAAAATCCCACTAATGGGGTCTGGGGAGGGTAGTGAGTACGCAAACCTTACCCCTACCCCGAAGGAGTAGAGAGGTTGTTTTCGAAAGACCCTCGGCTCAAAAAAACAAAAAGACAAAAGGAGACTATTAGCATCACAACAACAATCATAGGATAAATAGAAACACCATGAAATCCAGAAGAAGGATGCAAAGCAAAGGGAGACAATATTAGTATCACCACAATAATCATAAGAACAATAGTAACACCATGAAATCTAGAAGAAAGATGTAAAAAGCAAAAAGCAAAAAGGTAAAAATTGAAAAGCAAAAAGGTTTGGAGGCCCCCTTTTTGGCCAGATTAAGCCTAGATGAAAGTGTGCAAACTGAAAACTGACAAAAAGGTTTACGTTTGTGATTTTACAAAACCGAAAACTGCCAAACCTAACCAAAATTTTCAAAGATCAATTGAACTGACTGATGCCCACCCCTAAATGCTAATGGGTTTACGACAATATGAAATAGGGTCAATGTTGTATTTAGCAAAGAAGAGAATAAAAGCATGTAATTGCGACACAGTTTTCGGATTTGTAATGTCTTATACTTTTACCCCGTCACAGCTGAAATTATGGGCTCAGAGATGGAAATAGTTGAGCAGAGGCTAAAAGCTTTTGTGGGTCAGCTCCAGACAGAGTTTGCCATTCTTGATCGACTCGTTCACAAAAACAAGAACCAGCATAGAAGATGCTCATACTTCCAGTACCTCTTAAAGGTTGTATTTTAACCAATTTTTATTCATATATGCATGTGGGATTAATGGGATTTGCTTTGTTTTTAAAACAAAGAACTAGCATTGAAGATGCTCCTATTTCCAGTACCTCTTAAAGGTTGTTCCAAAGTTTATTCATATACACATAGGGTGGTTGCAGGGTTTTCTTTTTCTTCCAATGTGCACTTCTTACTTGATATGCTTGTTTTGATGTTATTAGGTGAGACGAGATTTGAGGCTCCTCCAAGCAGCTAATTTGGAGGAGGTTTTGAGTGCCTCTTTTCAAATTCTTTATGGGAAAAGACCCAAGCAAAAAGTGCAGCTTTTGGAAAGGTACTCATGACTCCTTTAAAGTACCTATTTTTGGCTTTTAGATTTTGATTGTTATAGTTCTTCTAGTGATCATACGCCAGGTTTGGAATTTGATTAATTCATAAATGTATACCACTTTTCACATCTGACATGAGTAAACTTTGATTTCAGAGTGAGCATTTATCGTACCCTTGCATTTTTCTGCTCCTATATTGATGTTTAACCACTTTTTGAGTGAAAAATTTGAACTGACATACACGGACGCTTGAAACTGAAATTTTGTTCCCTACTTATATGATGGTTTATCAATAATCATCCATCTCTTTGTATTGCTTGCAAGTGCAAGTATTTGCTGATTAAAATGGTTGAGTGTTTCTTGATCTCCACCATTTGTTAAATTATATATGCTACCATCAATCTGCTGTTTGAAGTATCTCCACAGAAGGTGCACTGCACAAAATTAAGTCATTTTTATAGGATTTGTCATGGAAAAAGTGGCTGTTTATGTGATAACAATCATTTTGCAAGTTACGCCCATCTTTCTAGTTAACCGACAGATTGGAGGGAAATATTCTTACATGTAACAATTGCGACTATTTTCAGCGATAATATTCTTACAAGTAACAATAGAATTGTAATTATTTATGTCTTGCTCTTCCATTGAATTATACTTGCAAATTCTCTCCGCCCGTGCTCTAACCTATGATGATTCAGATAAATTGAACTTTTCATCCTCACTTTTTCATGGGTCTCAGCCTAAAGAGGAGAAGAACTGATGGTGGCAAACACAATTTTCTGGAGCGACTTTTAGGGGTTGCACACCTGTTGACGCAGGTATCATTGTTTTCTTTCTCACTTCTTGTTGTTCTCCTTTTAAAACCTTTCATCCAAGTCTGTAAGGCAACTCATGGTATTGGACTTCCATACTCAGCCTACCGTGAAGATTGGTTGCTAGAATTTACTGTCATTAACAACTGCTTCAGCCCCAGTTTTCGACATTTACCAGTAGGAAAGTGTAGAGAACTTCTATTTGGAGAACCTTAAGTATTGAATATTGGATATGGGTCTAAATGAAAGAACGTGAATAGTGAGGACTCATATAGCCAGCCCTAATTAGCTTAAGGTTGAGGCGTAAATATTGTTGTTCCATATACCTACAGGAATGATGATTTCTCTCTCTCTCTCTCTCTCTCTCTCTCTCTCTCTCTCTCTCTCTCTCTCTCTCTTCATTTCTCTATCTCTAATCAAATGTCTTAACATTGAGGGCTCCATGTTTAATAAGAATCATATTACAACAAGGAAAGCTTTAAGTTATCATTTTATTCAGTAGAAGTTCCTAATTTACTTATTCTTTTCTCGCAGATGGTTGAGCCAATGTTAAGGGCCGCTACGTATCCTTCTTGCTTCTTTTCTGCATACTAATACTTCATTTGATATGTTGATTGTGGGACAAGATTTACTTATGCCAATTGATGGTCATGGCCATCAAAGGCCATTGGTGGTTTCTTTTAGATTTGTTACATCTTTAATTAATAGAAAGAGCTTAAGTTGTTCATTTTTTTCCATAGCTCTCGGGGTGTGTGGAGGTGATTGGAGTAAGGAGGTTTTGTCTGAAATCATTGTGAGTGCTTACTTATTTATATACGTAGCAAACCATTTCTGTTCTTCAAACTACTAGACTTTTTGGCTTTTGTATAGCTGATTTGCTTTAAAATTACTGGTTTGCTAAATTAGTGTAGTTGGATATTCTTTGTACCTCCTTTCTTTCTTTTTGTCCATATCTTCATAATTTCATATGTTCTGTTTTCGTCTCATTTGTATGTTGAATTTGTTTTTCACCTTGTGCTGATTGATCTTCATTTAAAGTAAACACTTGGTCAATGTGCCTCTTTGCAAATTCCAACGTGAAATGTTTGCCGCATGCGATTGTTTTTTACCCTTAACAGTAGACAGGGAGATATCCACACTTCTTGCACGATCATTTTTTATGGGATTTTCGTTGACAATATTGGCTTTGCTTGCCCGAATAAGAGTTCTAGTTCAGCAAGTAAGTATTCTCAGGATTTTTTTATCATTTTATGAAATGTGAAGTGGTAAATGCACTCACTAACAAAAAAACATTTTAAATCATTTTAAATGCTCATTTCTTCATCGTACTGATAATAGTTAAGGTTGCAGACCCAACTTGTCTATGAAGGCCTAGTTGTTGTTGTACTTATAATAGTAAAGATTCTGCACATCGATTGTGTTCTTTCAAAATTTCAGTTTGTTGAAGTTCTAGTTTCCAGTAGAATACATTGGAGTCATGCCCCCAGGGCCTAGCTGAAGTGGCAAAGGGTGGTGGATTTGTGTCTTAGGTCACAGGTTCAAGCCCCCACACCATGCAAAGCAAAGCCTGGTATTTAAGTGGAGAAGGGTAGAGGGGCGGGCCCATTATCCACCGAGTTTCGAAGGCTACGGTCGATCCAATGGATTGGCCCCGGACGGATTTCTCGGTCATAAAAAAAAAAGAATACATTGGAGTCATGGTAATTTCTGGAACTTATTTAATTGGAGTAACTGATCTAATTCAAGAGTCTAGGGGATGGGAGTTATGTAAATAACGTGAGATTTTTTGCTCTTTTAGGAACATATATTTAAGGAAGTGAAAATCTTATGTCGAGCAAATTTGTTAAGGATGTCCAATGATTGAACAAGAAATTCTAATCAAATTTGGTTTATTCATTGCAGATGCTTCTTGATGTTGTTTGTGTATTCAACAATGTCTCCTCTTTATCTCAGAGGGAACAAGCCATAAAATTGACTCAAGATGGATTTGAGGTTGTTGAATTTGCAACTTGTCTCTATGTTTTGTTGGTGCAATGCAAGAAATTATTTTCCTTTTTTTATTCCCTTTTGTTTTAACTTACTTTTTTGATTGATTTAATTAGTTCGGTTAAGGTCAAGAAATGGTTAGAAAAGTCAAGAGAGTCATACTACTCACAGGTACATTGTTGAGATAAGAAAAATGATATACAGCTTTGGATCTGCTTTATCAAGGACAAAATATCGTGGGCAAAGGTCCAACTTCCAAGCCACAGATATCTGCTGGTTTCTGATCAGGAGCCATGCTTTTTCTTATATGAATTACTTGTTACATTGTGCATGATGTATTGCAATACTTTTTTTTCAGATCTTCTGGAGGCCTCAAAGAGGCGTCTATCTCAATATTTATGGCATAGACTGCACATACTTCAAAGCTACTCCGATTGTTTTAATCAATAAGTCAAAGTGTTTCCAATTACCGTCTCNGCTACTCCGATTTTGTTAATCAATAAGTCAAAGTGTTTCCAATTACCGTCTCGTGTATTAAACTGCACACAGCATGATACTTTACCAGGAAACCATGTTTTGTTTAATGCCAATTGCTTAGAATCACTCCAAGTGTTACTAGCCCCCCTCCCCAAAAAAAAAAAAAAGAAACAACAACCATGTACCCTCGACATGTCTGTGTGCTTCGTGTGTGTTGGCGAACAGTAAGATGTTTCTCAGAGTAAATAGTGGAACAAGATACTAGATGACTGTTTTTGTGCTGATTGTTGTGATAAAATATACACGTTGGTCCCATCACAAAGTGAACTTTGATAGTCATTAATAACAACCCTTAGATGAAAATCAAGAAAGCAAATGTTCAATATTTTGTGCCATTGCAGGTTTTTAGAGAATACTTTCCACCAAAGCAGCAGGTGGTTTTCCTCGAATGTCTTTGGAAATCTGATAAGTATGTGTTAGTTGAGAGACAAACTGAGAAACATGCTGGAAGCCAGGAAAAGGAGGTCGGAGAAGATGTTTCTGTAGAAGCATCTAAAATTCAGTACGAAAGCATTGAGATTTTCCTAGGAGGTAACCACAGACCAAGAGTTCTTATAAGTGTCTTGTTTTCTTTATCGAACATATTCAATCAGTTTGAGCTAGAAGTAAATTCAAGGTTGCACATGATGGTTGCATTTAAGAGAGTATTATCCAGTGTTTTGCTGTTTGTCTGTTTTATCATTCAGTTTGACAGTAATTCTGTCTTACTCTTATCAGGGATTGTTTATTATTTTCCTTTGTGTTCATGGAAGACTTGTCTGTTGCATGTCTTTCTAGTGCTTCTTACTCCTTGAAGCTATAGATAGATTCATCGGGGGAGTTTTTTTCCTTCACATGACTTTTCCTGGTTCTCTCTTTATACTATGCGAGAAAGGCCCACCTGATGTCTTCAGCAACATATTATTGTAGATAAGTTGATAAAGAGGGTGATTTATGCTCTTGCTTTGAATACTTATTGCTATCTTCAGTATATGATCTTTTTCTGCTAAGGAAGAAAAAGGAAAATAAAAGGAACGCTGTTAATAACAAAATGATAAGAAACACCCATTGATTCTGTTAATTAGTTCTGTGCATTTTGTTAATTAGAATGTTTTCGGTAACTGCGACGTGGCTCTTTGTTTGTTGCTGATTTTCAGTTTTTTTCCTCTATAATTTTGTGCATAACTTTTTCTGGGATCTTGTGTAGATGAGGAACCTGGAAAGATAACCTCTAATGATTTGGCTGAGGATGGTCAAGCTGTAATCGACAAAGACAAAGCAAATTCGTTGGAGAATCCTATAGATTTGGCTGAGGATGGTCAAGCTGTAATGGACAAAGATAAAGCAAATTCTTTGCAGGATCCTATCCAAGAGAGTAATGATGAATTTCGAGCTCAAGTTGATTCAGCTATTGCAGGACCTTCTGGCAATAATTTTAATGCTACTAAAGCTGGAGCGCTCCCAAGTTCATCACCCAACAAGAATCCGGCGAAAGCTAAACCTGGATCAAAGAATAATGTTGCATTTGTTTCAGTTAAAAGACCAGCTGTGTCAACAAAGAGTGAATTGGAGTTTGACATTTATGGAATTGAAAAGGGTGATAATCCTAGTGTAGATAAAGAAGATCCATTTTTCAGTTTACTTACTGCTGGAAATATGAAGAGCAGTCTATTCTAAACTTCACCTAAGTTTTGTTTTCCCTTTTTTTTCTTCCTCTAAACTTTGTCGCGGGTACCTTTGTGTACATATTTATGTTAAAGCTTTCCCTGCATTTGAACAAGTCATCCAAATTGGTTTTTGAATTTTAAGAGTTGGTTCTCAATCATGTCCTTTCTGGAACGAGTTAAATTTTTTGGTACAACTCTTAATAATTAGCTGTGTCATTAGTTACTAGTCCGTCAATACTTTTTCAGTACGAGAGCAGTAGGAAATTCTTATTTTTGCTGTGACGTTTTAAAACACTAGTGTCAAATTCAAAAGTCATATAATATGTATAATTCATAGCATCTTAGGGAGCTAAATATGAATTCCATTTCCAATCCAAACATTGTTTTTGTTCTTTCTTTTATAAAAATATCATAATCCTGATTTCCTGGACAACTTACTATTAACAGTTTACAAGTGCATAAAATCTGAAAAATCGAATTCCGAACCGGATTGAATTAGTTCGGTATTTTAGTATCGGTTTATTCGGTATTTCGGTATATGAATTTCGGTTCTTCGGTATTTCAGTAAGGTCCTCGGTATGAAGGTTTCGATATTTCGGTATACTGAAATACCGAATTATATAAGTGCACCTTCCTTCACTACCCAGCCCAAATTATCAATTTCCAGCCCAAATTTTCAACTTATTAGTTCTTACCCCTAGCTAATAGCCCACTAAGACTAAGCCCAACACCCCAACCTAATGATAGTTTAGGCTTTCTTGAAATTTAGCTGATTGCTTTCAGCAGCACACTGGAAGGTCCCCTATGCCTAATTGTGATGCAAAATTTAATTACTAAGTGCTCGAGAAAATAGATAATGATGTGATTTTTATTATAAGTTTATTAGAAGCAAAGGACACATTTTGTTGCTATGCTCATGCAGTGATTTCTATTAGAAATTATTAGAAGGAATTGCTCACATTCTGTTGTTGCTATGCTCATTTATCATGTTACTAGTTTCTGCTCACATGCGTTGCACATGTATACCATATCAATCAGTATAAATATTTTAAACATAACATGAATAAGGAAATCAAAAATTACTTCTTTTAGTTAGGTTTGATAAACAACCATACATAAACTATAAAAGAATAAAAATTAAGAGACCGATAATTATTTTTCTTAATACAATTTTATTTTATTTTTAAATTAAAATACATGAAGAGATGTGGAGTTTATGAAAGATAAATCGCAGATGAAAAAGATCTGGCTCTATAAATATATAATGCAAGTAAATTAAATTGAGTAGTTTACTTTATATCCCTTTTTAAATTAAAAAACAAGTACACATATAATCAAGAATTAAATAGTAAATTAAAATAGAACCAAATAACAACAATAATATGTAGCACAACTGCTACAGTATTCCAAGTGACAGAATCACATGCATGGAGTGCAAATAACATTTTTACAATTATAATGCTTTTAATCTCATAGCAATACTGGTGAGTATGGTGTTGAAACTGCATCAAATTTAGAAACGTAACTATGTTTCTATGATTAGTGTACTATATGAGTTCTTCGGGATGAACATTTTTATAGGGAGGAACATTTTTATAGAGGATATTTTGGTCCTTGAAGGATATTTTAATAAAATAATTTCACCTAAAAATCTTCACACTTATAATATAGTATGATGATTAGAAATTTTCTAATGAATTAAAGTTCAGCAGTTCATCACTATTTAGTTTACAAAGACTTTGTACGATAACCATACAAGAAGATACAGAATTACGGTATTTGGTACGCACAATTAATATACCAAATATCGAACCGTAATTTTCAAATACCGTACCGAACGCCCACCCCTAGTGCTTATTAGCTACTAATAATTTATCCGTTTGTATAACTCCATGCACTTGTTGTACTTAGTCTTTAGACTTGAGAGAATAGTATCTTAGTAGATGTGCGGATAACTCTTTCGATCTTTCAGAGAGCATAATTGTCTGCAAGTAGATAGTAATTTAATGTCAACACCAACCTTTTACCAAGTAAAGCCTCTGCTAAGTAAATTATACAGAAGAAAATCATTCAAATAAATTCTAATGATTCCAAGATGCTGTTTGAATTTCAAAAAGTAAAACACTTGGGTGAAACTGAGGTTAAGCTATTCCCAAGATGCAGCTTTATAGCTCTCATTCTTTTCTTCCCCAAACAAATCAAAACGCAAATATTCTAACTGATGCCTCTGATTTCCGGTACTATAATGTCCGACTCTCCACCAGCTGTTGATCCTGCTTCAAATTCCAGCATGTTATGAATTTTCATTATTCGTTATGTAAGAAACAACTACAGTTATGTCGTCCAGCTTCCCACCATGGTACTCAAATCCAGCCTCCTGGGCTCCATCAGAGAAAGGCGACGACTTATTAGTATCCATTGCTCTTTGTTGTGCCAGTTCTGCTATCCTCTGAGCAGTCATTTGAGGCCCTAAGCCAGCTTCCACAGACTGAAGTACAACTACTTTGATATCTTCGTCATACAAGTTATCAAAAAGCCCATCTGTACCAGCAATTAGGACATCTCCAGGTGCAACGGCAATTTTAAACACCATGGCAGAACTAGGTGAATCGCCAGCATTATTGCAATCTAGTTGATAAGGAAAATTAAAACCATGTTGTTGTGCAGGGGATTTAAACGTGGCATATCCATGTCTAACCAACATAAATCCGCTATCTCCTAAATTAACTGCATAAAGACCCTCATCGGTGAGTGCAACAATACAAGCAGTAGAAGAACCTTTTGCTTTTGTTCTCACATAAGCTTTATCCAGTGCCCTGATTAAGTCTATGGAGCCTTTTGGTTCCTCCTGAATTGCAGCTAAAGAGTTAGACATTAACTCGCGGGCATACAGCCCAGCATCAATACCAAGATCAGCCCATCCACCAACACCATCAGCTACACCGATAGCTTGTGTAAGGGTACACATAAAATGAGCATCCTCTCCACCAGTCTTTGCTTTAGCAGGATGAGGCAGGTAAAAAGATCCTGAATTTAGCTTCAAGGGGATCTTTGCTTCAGAAGAATCAGCAGCAGTATTAGCAACTTGCTCCTCGCCCTTAGCATTATCCGAAGACACACCAGGAGCAGAAGCAGTTCCAGAAGAGAAACACGTAGGGGATAAGTTGTGTAAACCTTCTGATCCAATTTCTATGTATGATTTGGGATTGGCCCACCTCTTTGTAACATGAGTCGTGAAGTACTGGAAAAGCATATTGTTGGGATGTCCTTTATTTCTCAAACTCATGTTGATTTTTCTAACTTTCTCAAAGCCTCGTTTGTTGTAAGAAACAGTGCAGTTCATTGACAAACCACATTGCAAGCGCCTAGCAGTGATATTACCAACAAAATGACCAATATGAGAAGTTCTTGAACCACAAACAGCCATTGTCCCGTTCTGAGTGTCAATGCCAAATGAAGGTCAGTAAGCAGCAGATACTTAAGGCAGATGAGTTCTGCAAATGTATCCACCAAAGAAGAATTATAAAACTACTTATGAAGTCATATCTCTAAATCATGCATTTGCTTATCTTCTTTTAATTGACAAACTAGATAAAGAAAACTGATAAAGCAAGACGATAGCGAGTCCATAAGAAGCAAGACATGCACAACACAAGATTCCGCGTCTCACTTTCAATTAGTTCTCATCAACAAAGAGTTCATAATACATAGATTCTGTAATCAATTTCAGGCTAGAAAACACAAGCTGTAAAGCTTGCCAAATAAAACCTATTAAGTGATGAAACTACCATTTTACATGAAAGACAGATATCTAGAAATTTGACTTCATCAAATAAAGAAAGTGAAAACATCGATATCTAACGGATACACAATTTTAGGGAGGAGCTTATTAGCAACAAAATTTACAAACACATCCTTTAAAGTCAACCTTCATAATCCGATTAAGACAGTAAGCTCAAAAGACTAAATTTGCATCCCACTTTTCATAAACACATTATAAAAGCAAAACCTTGAGCTTTGTTTCTGGGCAAGTGAAATGAATTTTGCTATTGTAGACATTGGTATACCATAGGCGTATTGCTGCAGAGAAGTTGACAAATATAATCAACCAATCATTCAACTACCCTCAGCCCTAAACTACTCGGGTCGGCTATATAAATCATATGTATCAATAACGTTCTATTGAGATCCAAAGTTTCACATAGAATAAGAATAAAAATGTCACCTTTGTTCTTATCAAGTCAAAAAGCAATTAGCATTTAGCTAGGATGTCTACGTCATACCCGTGAATGCAGGATGCCTTGTGGACCGGACTGGTTTAAGTCAAAAAGCAATTAGCAGATAGAGTCTACCTTAACAGCATAAAAACAGAACACAAACTGCTAGAAAGAAACAAAACACCAAAAGACCTAGTTCTGAGTAATTACTAACTATAACAAAATGAGAGTGATAATGAAGATTTTGAGCTATTTCCTCTTCCCTTATCAACAAGGCTTCCTCATTCAATACCAGAAAACATTTAAGAATAATTAAACAAGAAATACTAAGAAAGAGGAAAAGGGAATCAGCAGACTTCACCTCAAAGCTGTTTAAATCTTATCCCTTTATATGGAATTCTTTCACCGCCTGCAACTTTGCTGCCAAAGGAACTATCTTTATCCTCTTCTCTTCAAACCCCTATTCAAGAATTGCTTCTTTTTCCAGTGTTTTGAATGCAAGACCTGCAATCTTTCTTACTCTTTCTCTCCAAGGGTTCACTGTAGATTTTCACAAGACAATTAGTATAAATATCTCCCTTATTTTACTTATTTTGTATTCGTTTTCATTTTTCTTTTTCTGAAGCAATGGAATGATAGACGGATAAATAAGAGCTTAGAGCCCTATTAAATTAGGGTGAACCCTGCATTTTTTTTACAGGATATATAAGGTAATGTTTTTACACAAATGGTCCTTCTTTTGATTTTCATTTTGTCTAATCTTTAGGATTTTTCATTTGTCCCCTTTTGGCAAATTGATTTGAAGTTTTTAACCTGCTAGTAATAATGTTATGGAAAGTTTATGAGCTAGACTAAATTATTATCACCATAGTAATTCAACGTTACGACTATTAATTAATTTTACTAGTCATGTTCCGAAATTTCATACATATTGAAAGATGATTATAATAAAAGATTTGAGACAATAAATATTTCCTGTCCAATCTGAAAGTTATTTAGGAGGAAGCGTTCACAGTTCTGCAACTAGTTACTGCAAAATACTAATGCTTAAGAATTAAGTAGGCGTTTGAACATAAAAATTATAATTTTTGAAAAAAAGTAGTATTTGGAGTTAAGTTAAAAAATAGTATTTAAAATTATGCTTTGACATGCATTTCACTTGAAAAAATATTGTAGTTTTATGAGAGGGGAAGACAAAATTCTAACCTTTTTTTTGTTTGTGAAGCACTATTTTCGAAATTTCAAATAAAATTTGATGGACAAATATATTTTTTAAAAAGAAAAAAAAGTTAATGGACAAACGGGGCCTAAGTGTACCACATAGAAAAAGTGTTTTCCTTTTGATATTCTCCGGGTGGGAGACTTTTTGTTATTTAAACTTTGGAGTTGTCTGATTTTTACAGTTAGGGACATGTAATTGATAGATGAAAAGAAAATGCCAAAGGCAAAATAAAGCATATTATTTACTACCTATAATAATAAATATATTAGATTATTGGGGCACCATCATTAGCTATTATTATGGAAATGAAGCAATTTAGGTATCAATAATCAGAGTGGCGCAGCGGAAGCGTGGTGGGCCCATAACCCACAGGTCCCAGGATCGAAACCTGGGTCTGATATTTAGCAAACTTTGTGAGCTTGCTATAATCCTAACCAACATCTTTTGTCCCTTTTTCATTTTTCATTTCTTCTTTTGTTTAGTCCATTAATATAAAACAATAAATTCTTGAGAGAAATTTTTTTCCTCGGGTGATAAATTTATTTTGTTCATTTATTTTTCCTCTATGTGCACTTCTTTTTATTCTTTTGGGAGGGAATGGTGGGATGTAATGGAAGAGTACTCACACATTTGGAGCGAGAGATTTGTATTATTGTCAAATGAGTTGAATGCTTGTTGGAGGACAGAGGATTCGTATAGTTCAATCGAACTACAGGGAAGGTCACGTAGTTGACTTTATATTTTGTTTGAAATTTTCCTCTTGCATTCTAGTTCGTCAATATAGAACCTTACTCGACTATCGCAGTATATGATTGGTTACTTGTTAAATCTCAAGATAATTTGAACTTAATAAAGCCAGATTCCTTTTATCTTTCTGTTCAATAACAAAAGATGGAAAGCAAGAAGCCTAGAGCCTTAACTCCTTGTTATTTTTATATTCAACATGAAAATACATTGAGGAACAAGAGTCGGATGTTGGTTATTGAAGAGGTTCAGCTCATAGTACAAAGGTGACAAGACCTGGAGATATCAAAAGTGAGAATACTAACATGAGTAACGGAATACGTGAAAAACACAATCACCTGCCAATGAAAGATTTTCCGTGTTCAGAATCTACCCGAATCAGATTTTTAAGGAACATATTGAGAGAGAATTGGATTTTGGTTAGACAATGTATGGTTGGTAAACAAAGATCAATTTTTTTAGCATGGTACAAAATGTACCATCAAATATTCAATACGATTCCACTGGATGTAGTTTCGTTCTAGTAACGGCTTAAAGGAGATTCTAGTGAAGACTTCATTAATAGTTCAAATGATCACCTTAATAGAAACAAGAAACCACCAAATATCAATCCAAAATCAAATTTCTTTGAAGATTGTACAATTAGAGTGGACCAATTTCACCAATATCAAAGAAGTAACAGCCGACGTTAACTAAGAAACATTTGGCAGCTTTGATTCCTGGGCCAAAGCTGAAATATGTTCAGCTCAACAGCAAAATACAGTTTTTTATCCAAAGGGGTGGGGGTGCGTGGGGGGTGGGGGAGATTAAGGGAATAAAACCAAAATATTATCACCAATTCTTGGTTGAAATGAGCTTAACTGAATGCACAAGTAGTTAGAAGCTGGCACGAGAGTTAAGCATCTTTATTGTTTTTGTACTACAAACACATGAATAGAGTGATTGCCAGTGCCACCCAATCTCCCATCACCCTAGTTTACACTTCATTAGATGGAGAACATACAGTAAAGAAGTTACATGAAAGAACTATGAATATGGCACAACCAAAATTGCAATACAAGAATCAGAACATGATCCGAGCCCCTACTGACCTCTCTTCAACCTCAGGCTCAGGGCCATCACCTTGCCTCCTACCAAGCTAAGATCTAGAATAAATGTAATGGCTTAGGCTTCCCTGTTGCTCAAAAGATAGCAACAAAAAATTGCCCAGCTGAAATGTGGAGCAAAGGCACAATCGGATCCCTCATCTTGCAAGAAATCGAGTACTTCAGTATGCTGGAAATAGGCTGTCATGATATCAGATATCTCTAGTAAGCCTTGGCAACCTGCAGACGTGCTTCCAGCTAGCCGTTACGCCAGACAAAAGCTTGGTTCATTGGCCACAAAACCCAAAAAGAAAAAGAAAGGGAGCAATAAGCTCATAACCAGCATGTTTTCTGCGGTAGAAGTTGCGGAATGTAATTGCCCAATAGCAATTTCTGGATTCACTTATAGGGATCTAAAGGCTGCATACCTAAGCTGGGTTCTCAGAAAGCTTTGAGAAACCAAGCTTCTTCAGGCGACTCTTCATAGGGGTTGCCCATGTTTTTTCCGCACTACCACATTTTATGTCCACAATTTCCACCAAGGTCGGTCTCTTTCTGTCCGTTTTCTGCCTAATAGGAGTTCCATCTGCTGAAGAATTGTCTGCTTCTAGTATTGGCCTTTGAGGAGTTTTACAATTATAGTGCTTTGCCTTCTTGACTATCTCAGGGCTATTTTTATTATCTTCAGACACCCAACTGCTGCTAGCCTCATCAATTGATGTTCTTGGCTTCATTCTTTTAGGACTGGTAGCATCACCAGCAGAGAATGAACAAACAGAAGGAGACCTATAACTATGTGATATAGATGTTGGAGAAGCAGATGTTTTTGAATCTAATTCTCTTGACATGAGGGCACTGATCGTACCAGTTGTTCCCACTTTAATAGAACCTCCACCACCCCTCATGGACTCTAATGTCTGAACCATAACTCTTTCCGGATATTCTGAGATTGCTCTAGACGATACTTGGATATACCCAACTGCGACAGGATAAGCTCATAAAAAGCCTGTCAATCTCTTTATAACATCCTGGTTGAGATGATTTCTGTATCTAAATTCAAGAGTAAAGACGATTAAGGAAAAGCATAGCAAAAGAGCTACGAGCAGAATGAGAGAATATATTTTCTCTAGACAAATTCCAATATCCTAAATTTATCAGGAACAAACATGTAAAAACAGAAAGATCATTATCATAAACAAGGAAGCTAGAATTAATAACTAAAAGTCATCCCAAGAAAAGCAAGATAACTTAAGAAACTGCAAAATAACAAAACATAAAGCTCACTGCCTGCATTTTCCGGTAAATAAATACGCTGTCAGGTTATAACAAGATCAAAAGTCAAAGGGAGTCATAACAGATTGTTTGTTAAGGGGTATACAGCTACGAGAAAACTGTACACGATTAACTAGTTATACTGATGCTTAGATTGGAAATGGAATTGTCTCATAAGTAGAGCCTAGATATGTCTAAGAGATGAAACATCCAACATGTTACCTAATCAAATTCAAACCCAATATCACAGAGAGAAAACAGATAACTATAGTACAATAGAAGCAGTAGTTGAGTTGCGCACAAGCTAGCCTCAACACAGCATTATCATTAAAATAAAAATAGAAGCCAAAAAACATAAGCCTAATTATCTAAGCTACATATTTTCTCCTGACAAACCATTTTTTAGTGGGAATGACTCTAGATGGACTTTTTTTTTTAACCACGCTTTATATTTTGACCTTGTTAGGGAAAGTTAAGGGAAAATAATCCCGTGTTAGAATTTTGAAGTACTAGAATTTTCAGCCACAACGCGAAAAATTCTGGTGATCGGTCATAATTTTGTGGCTAATTGCACAAAAATATGGCAAACGTAAGAATTTTGTGACAATCATCGTAACTTGCAAATTATGGCAATATTCTGACGAATCACCATAAGACTTTCCTAAGAATTTCTCACCAGCGTGCTTCAAAATTATGACTGGAGATTATTTTCCCAAGACTTTTCTTACCGGAATCAAAATTCTAACGGTGGCACCAAATGATCCTATTTGTGTCATTCTCCCTATTTTTTAGGGCTGTGATATCTAGGCCAGCTTCACAAATAACAAATTCTAAAGAAGGTAAAGAGACATTAAAATTGAAGTATTCAATCTATGAATCAACTAGACACGGTTAATAAGACCCAAAAGTTCTACAAGGGGAAAGATTGAAACTTTGGGAAGTCAATAGAACAAATAGATCTAAATTCTAAGCTGAGTGAGTACAGTATTCTGGATTGAAGCTCAATGAGATAACATGAAATCTATAAAGCAGAATACAACGATAAGGATTTCGATTAGAAGTTTAAAAATAAGCTAATGATTCGAAATTTACCTAAAAAAAGAGCGGCAATTGGAATTCTGAAAAAAAGTGTAAAGAGACAGGTTATTGTACCAAATTAAGATGAGCAAATTCCCTTTGTCAAGGGCGAGATTTGACTGCAGAAATTCGATGCATTTGTGTCATTCTCGAGAAAGGTATCTTGTGCCAAAAATGATGCATCAATCTCTATATTAACTTACACCTTGTTTGGATGGTGCTTAACCATGTTTTATAATGTATTATATTATATTATATTATATTATATTATATTATTTTATGAATATAATTTTTGGATAGATTGTATTATTTGATCGTACTATTTAAATATTAAGTTTACTAAAATACTTTTAACTGTTTAAATATTAAATTTATCAAAAATTACGCATAAAAATAATTTAAGAAAACTACTTTCTACTAATTTATCACCAAATATGCCTTTAATTTATCACCAAATATATCTTTAACTATCATTAAAAAAAAATAAAGAACTATGATAAGGAAAGGAACGAGAATTGGCAGACAAAGGAACAAAGAAATGGAGTTAAAATCACATTATGAGAAAAAACGAAACAAAAAAGAAGTCAAAACCTATACCTTTTACGTTGGAGTTGGAAAAAAAAGGGACTAAGACAAAGTAGGTTATATGCTGGAGATTTGGTGTTTAAAGAAAAAAAGGCAAAGGATAAAATAGAATTATAGAGTAATAAGGTAGAGCATAATTAAAAAAGAAAAATAGGAAACAATCCCACCACACCAAATCGGTTGTTTCAAAAAACAGAACTTTTCATTGTTCCGAAACAATGGATTTAACAATACAACAAAATCAATTTTAATGAAACAATCAAAACAAACATTATTTTGGGATAACAATACAATACTGATACAGGTAACAACCATCCAAACAAGCTGCTAATATAAAAAAAATTAAAAATATTTGTTGAAAGAGAGCATCCTATTAAAGGTTAACCCATGAATCGTTTAATAAATTAAAATAGAATGACGTCAAATATTTTGGAACGACATAAAAATGAAAAGATATTATATAAATTGGAACAAAGGAAATATTTCACTAATAAAACCTTTTATTTAGTTCAAATTTATTATTTTTGTCCAACTCATACGACACAAAATTTTTAGAAAAATCATCTAATAAATACAAATATTTACCAAGTCGGATTGTTTTGTCTTAAGTAAGGAGCTAATAAAGAAAGAAAGGAGACGGAATCGCATTAGCTGTGCATATTTTGTCTGTTTTCCAGGTTCTTTAATGAATAATCTTCTTCAATATCTTTGACCTAATAATAGACATGTTGATTTGTTTGGCTTGCAAAAAGAAGGATAAAAGGGTACTAATCATGCCAAATTAGTATATATATAAACAATTATGTTCTTCTAATCGTAAACCGTATTATAAATGTTGTCACATATTTGGTATGCGAGTAATGATACATTGTGATTGAAATGAGCGAAAACCATAAGGAATTAATGTAAGCTTGTTATATCTACTAAAACTACTTAATTTCGGGAAGAAAATGGAGGAATTTAACGTGTTTCAAGCCTCAAACAATATTATCTCAAGATCCTCCACCAAATACAATATTATGAACTAAATGTCCACTTGCAAAAATTTTAAACTAATATTAATTTTCTTTCTATTCAAGTGTTTGGTCCACCATTAACTCCTTCCATTCATCTCAATATTGTATTTGTAGCCCCAAATCTCCTACCACGACGTCATGGTTGTGGGCTTGTGGCTCATTTTCAATTATTAAAGAAATTAAAATCTTCTGATTTTTAATTTAAAAAGAGGTGTTAGAAGAAAAGAACATGGATTTGAAGCTTACCGCACTAATATTCTTGATATCATTAGGATACATAAGTTAATTTATGTGATTAAGTTTGATTACAGGTAATTACACATTTAGTTTCTTCAACGGCCAAAATCTGTAGGTAAAACTTTCAAGCACAAGAGAGAAAGAGGATACATAGCCTTTCTAGGTTCATATGAAAACAAGGGTAATGGTACAAAAGAGAATAAGATGTTGAAAAAACTCTAGTCTAGGCCAGGCCAATAAATATACACCTATGTAGAGAAAAAGGCTGGCAAGACATCATCACAAGGGTAAGATGTACTTTTACACATTTTGATCTCAAAATCAAGGGCTACATACAACTTACTCAAAAAGAAAAAGAAAAGTTAGTATTTACATATGTATTAAGGTTACAACAGGCTATCTAAGACCTGTTGAAAAAATGGACTAACAGCACTAGGTTCTGGACTTGCATGTAATGAAGGCAGCTACGAATTGATGGTCGCAAGCAAAGACATCCGTTCGCTGACACACTGGACTTACCTCATGATTGGGACGATGAGATCGAGTTAGATTAATCTGTATACATTTCAGAGGGTCAAAACAAATGCAGGGAATGGAGCCGAGTTGGATAAAAGTCCATGTATATGTCGATGAAATCCATCATCTACTTGGCAGAATACCAGTTTTTGGCACATTTAGAATCAACAGATAGGTCAACTCTGAGAATATTCTTTCCACCAAAAGGCTTGGACATGCAGTCAACCACTATTGCCATGGCTTCGTTTTCAGATTCTTCCGGCCCTTCCAAAATAACTTCATCATGAACCTATTCGAAAAACAAACAATAACGTACAATTGTTAGCTAATGACAAACGACGCAAACAATTAACTGGGACTGCAAAAAAAAATTAAGACACATACATAAATTATTCTAAGCTATGCCAAACATAAAAATATAAATGTGCCATATGCCCTTTCTGTTACAGGAAAAATGAATCTCCCTCCTAGTAACCATTCATCTTCCAACATTCCTGAAAATTTTGGTTATAATCTTATCATCTGTAGTTACGCACAACAAATGGCAAACCCTATACCCCAGTTAACAGACATGCGTACCAAACTCAGCTTGAGATCAAAACTTAACAGGTGAGCTCCAAAGTTGTAGGTGAACACAGCTCGAGATATTGAGAGAAGCACCCACAGCAAATATGATAGCAGAATACAGTTTTTTCTTTTTTTATGTATTTCTCACTTTTTCTGTTTCTTAAAATGAGATGAGTCCACTAAAGGGCAATGGAAGATAAACCTGTAAAAGCAATTTCCATCCAAGCTCCTCTAGTCGTGCATTCTTTGATATCTCTAACATGGCGCACATAGCAACATCTGCAGCACTTCCCTGTCAAAAACTTCAGAAGTCAGCATGGCATACGTGGCATGCAGACAACTTATTAAAGAAAAAAGAAGGGAGAGACGATGGCAATACACACAAAGAATAGGGCGAAGTGTGTTAAGATGGACCTGCACTGGAGTATTTATAGCAGCTCGTTCTATGTGACCTTTTACAGATCCAGTTGCATTTTTTACTGATGGGAACCAGCGTGCCCGTCCTAGAAGTGTGTGAACACGTCTGAACTCGCGTGCTTCAAATTTGCGTTGTTCCTGCCAATCTGACACTTCTTTTCTATCTCTATACCACCGATCAACTGTTTCCTTAGCTTCCTTTACGGATACCTAAGTATGAAATAGTATTCATTTAGCTCATGCAGACCCAACAAATTCTATAGAAATCAAGGTAATTAAATAGA